GCTGAACCGTAACTGTCCATTATTTGTTAAAGCCCACAGTATGTACTTTCACTGAGCAGCCTAAGCCAAATGTATCTACAAAGCTTTTCTTGTGCATGTCACAGTAATTGTTCAAGAGCCTTAACAAAAGTTAAGACATTTGCCAAAGTGAAAGCTGCCCCACATCATAGTCAGCACTCAGCAGCTTGCAAAAATAAACTTCCTTTCCAAAATCCCCCTGAGCCTTACCCACAGAATAACAGAGTATCAGCAAGAGGTGTTACATGGGTTTGTCATGTCTCAGCACATTCACACTTTGGGCTGACTGCTGCTCATGAAGGGTTGGGTTCAGAGATACTGAGAAAGAAAGACTTCCCTTAGGCTACCTCTGAGGTAGTACCCCACTGTTTAGCCCTCAAATTGCAGAGTAGGCAATTCTGGGGATTGGGTTGGAGTTTGTTTGGTTTGTTTGGTTGTTTTTTTCTCCTGTGTCTCAAGTATTCAGTGCTTACGTTGCAGACAAACAGTGGAAGTATGCATGTGTTGTAAAGTTCTGCTAGATGTCCTCAGCTGTTGAAAGAAGGGGAAAGAAGCAGCTCAGTAACACCTTGGAAGCATAAGGGGCTGGGTAAAGCTGTGCCACATCTCTGGATGCCTGCAGCATCAGGACTGGTGAGATTTTGGTACAGAGAGGACAGACGTTCATCTGTTTCTTTTCTGCACAGTTCATAATCTCATACATCATGAGTCTCACTGATTTTCAGATGGGCTGTTTTAATTAACCCTTCATCTCTCACACCGCAGCATTAGAAGTAACTGGAGGACTCCCAACGTTAAGGAGAGGAAATTCTTCCTTTTCATCCTGTTCAGAAGTATTGAGTAGAAGTGCTGTTCTGTCTCTTCCCCAGGCAGCCTTGCACATCCTCTCTTGTCCATCTGCCCGCCACTGAAACAGCACCCACACCAACTTGTGCTGATGTGGCTGTTCTGCTCTGGAGTGGGAAGGAGCTGGGTAGGTGGTAGAATAAGTCCTATGAGGAGAGGCTGAGGGAACTGGGATTGTTTAGTTTGAAGAAGAGAGACCTCTTTGCTCTCTACAACTTCCTGAAGGGAGGTTGTAGGGAGGTGGGAGTTGGCCTCTTCTCTCAAGTGAATAATGACAGGATGAGAGGAAAAGGCCTGAAGCTGTGCCAGGAGAGGTTTAGACTGGATACTAGAAAGAATTTCTTTACCAAAAGAGTGGTTGGACAGTGGAACAGGCTGCCCAGGGAGGTGGTGCAGTCACTGTCCCTGGAAGTATTTAAAAGAAATATAGATATCATGCTTAGCAACATGATTTAAGCACTGAACGGGTAAATCAGGTTCTGTTAGGGGGATTTAGGTTATGGTTGAACTTGATGATCTTTAAGGTCCCTTCCAACCAGGGTGATTCTATGATTGTAAGGTGGGAGCACCCCACATTTGTGTTAGATGCACATAATTTTCCTGTTATTCTCACTCTTCCAATTCTCTATCCCTTCCAGCATCATTTTGCAGGATCCCATTACTTCATCTTTCCTCAGTGACTGAGGTCTTTTAGAGCACAGGGAAAACAATCCCAGTCCACAAAATTTCAGGTTGTTTTGCAAAGAGCTGTGTTTAAGAACAGTGGCTGGGATATGCTTCTTTTTGAGTATTTTGCACACTTAAAAAATACTCCTACACAAGGTAGGCCACAACAAGACTCATCATATTTTCTGAGAATATGGTTGAATTTTCATTGTGTGAACTAAACATCAGCCAGGAAGTTTTGATTTACAATTCCAATTCAATAGATATGATAGAGTGTAGTTTTTAAGTATGTGGACCTCAATAAAAAAACAGATTAAAATTTGATGGTTGCTATAGTATCTTTCTCCATGAGTCATGGATATTGTGAAAAATAGGCAAAAATAGCTGTAGAACCTAATCTTCTTGGAGGAGACTCTGCACCTATTTTATCTTCTTCAAAAAGGCACTCCCATAAAGAGTTTGATTTTCTTTTTGGTCTGATTTTCTCCCCTTTTCAAATGTGGTTTGCAAAAAAAATAAATTAAAAAAAAATCTCTACTCTTACAGGTATGTGGTTTATAAAATGCACATGATATGTTTGGTAACTGGACATAAATTAAAACTTTTCGTCTTTATCTATGATCAAATGTATACATATGTCTTTACCGTGTTCAGCAGACTTCTGAGTACTGGCTAGTTCTCAGGCACCTTGCTTAAATTTACATTTATATTGAAAATAAAGGGTACAGAGAAAACTCAAGGGAAAAAGTGAACTGCAGTGATAAATAGGACCACTGGGGGATGCTAGTGCTTAAGGGTTAAAGTCTGGATTCAGCTCCAGTCGGCACCCTGGTTGTGGAAGGCCCCCTGGGGACTTGTGCGTGGCTGGCAGATTTCTGAACCTACAGGCAGCAGTAATTCAGTGACCGAAGTTCAGTGTCTTGATCATAAAACATCAGTACT